AATGAACAAGAAGGCCTAGGATTCTTGTGGTGATTTCGTTTGACATGTTTCAACGAGTATTTTGGGATGAGATTTCTTTTTTCTGTACCTCAAAAATGGCATCGGAAAATGCTGAAAATTTTAAATAAGAACGCAAGTGTTCGTATCGAGTTTTGAGAGAATTTTTTCCAGTGGAAATGTAGCCGTTTTCCGGTGAATGTTGACTCCGAGCAAATTACGGGCCCTCCTTCTAGTGTCAAACCGTTGATGTCGAAAATCGGACGATCAACTGTTGAAAATGAATCAAATCTATTTGTATGTAAAGTCAATAACAAGATCTTGAAATGAAGTGTTTATTTGTTTTTTAGAGAGAAGATTTTTCTCTCTTTGTTGTTTTGGGGAGGAAAAAATGAGGAGAAGTCATCCAACCACCCCTTCTCTCTTCTCATTTGTATATATATATACCCTTTTCCCTTTGGCAAGTGGGTAGTTTTCTTTATTTTTTTTTTCGAAACGATAGAAATTCTATATATAACTCAAGAAAAGTTCGGTACAAATGAACTAACAACCAACTACATCGAAATATAAAACTGGGAAGTCACCCTAACATGGTGACATAGAGCCTCACAAGGCCAAGAGCCAATACAACTACTCTGAGACCATCACAGCAAATGAAAAGAACAGATACTCCACCACTGCACAATGCCTAGCCAGAGGACCTGTTCTAAATGGATTCAAAAGCAACAGCAAAAGCAAAATAAACATAAGAAGCCTATAGAACAAGAAATAACTTAATCTACACCAATGGCTTTGTCCTAGCTGTTATAAAATCCATCCAGTCTGAGATAGCAGCCTTCAAAACAATGTGAATAGGAGCCAAAGTTTGCTGGAATATCCACGCGTTCCTCGTTTTCCAAAGCCACCACAGCAAGTGGGTAGTTCAATAAGTAAAAAATGATACACCATTATTTAATATGAGATAATCCTTGTGGGGCCCACTTATGACTTTTTACGGTTCCAATCGACGTCTATCTTTTCGATAATTGTCCCGTTTACCGACAGCGGATTTTTCCTGATACGTACCTGTTTGTACATTCGTTTATTTCATATTTTCGGCTCCTTGATTTTCGGGCCGTATTTCATTATTTTATTCATTATTTAATTGGAGCCAAATTGGGTATCAACAGTATGGTTGGTCGACTGGTGGGGAGGGTGGTATTCTAGTTATGCTAGTTTGTAGTTATTGTGTGTTATGTGTTTTTTATATGTTTCTTTTGGATTTTATTTTTCTTTGTAGGAGTTGTATTTACCACTAGTTGGTGTATATTCTATTGATGGTGTGTTTGTGGTAGTCTAGGCTTCCCTTTTGGATGTCCTCCAATCTGAATTCAGTTATATAGTTGGTTCATTCGGTTAGTTAGTCACTTGTAAATATGTGTTTTTATTTATGATATCTATCGTTCCTAAACAAATAAAAAAAACATATTATTATATCGAATAAAATCCACCTATAGGGTTTACCGATAATAATTTTTTTGGATTCATTTTGAAGAGTCATTACCCTGGCGCACCAAGACACAGTGACTGAATATAATCAATTGCACACCATGTAAATAATAATATTTCCCCACTCGCAGAGCATATTGACTTAACGAATAAGTCTCACTCACTCATAAATTAAAAAAATAATTATGAAATACACGTGCTTGTTAATATCACCCGGGTTTAGAGTATGCGTAATGTCATGATGTCTAGTTTATTTACCGGGTTAGTATAAAATAAACTTCTCCTCCGTGGCTGGTTCAATACACACAAAATGTAATAGTATAATTTATTCGTTGAGATAAAATAATTCAAATTATACTATAACCATACCGATAGACTTGTCCATTTCTATCTCGGTTACGAACCTTATTTTTATTGTATAAGGAATCAATAATATAATCTTATGTGTGGCAATGTTACATTATATTATCTTTAATCTTAATAACAGAACAAGTTGTATTTCCATATTCAAAAATATAAATACAAACACACTATTCTCGGTTCTCATTTAAAATTGAAATTAAGTTTAAACTGAAGCGAAGCATTTAGTATACCAAACCAACAATCTCCCACTTATACTCAAAGCTTTTGCTTTTTGAGCATATGGATTTCATCTCCCACTAATACACAAGTCCTTGTTGTCTTAACTACCATACATCTGACTCTCAATTCCGTAACATGGCTATCAACGGCTAATGCCATAATGTCCTTTGCAAAAGGACTCGCTAGGTTATTAACTGATGTAATTTAGGCAACAACAATTTTTACCCTTCTTACAATTTTTCGTGTTAGGTGGTACTTGCGCTCCATGTGTTTACTTGTCGTATGGATTTCACATCTTATTCCAATGGAGGATTCTGGAGCCAAACAACTTCTTTTGTTTTCTTAAAGGCTATGATGCATTGAGCTTTCATGGTAGAATCTGTCACACTTTTTGTTTGTTACTCTTCTATATTATGGTCCACTCACAAATAAATAGATAATCAAAGTAGATTTACTCTTGTTATGGATATCAGAATCCGTATAATCCATGCATACAGTTCGCTTTGTAAGCTAACATATTATCCTTAGTCCTTTTACGACTCTTGACTATATATTTTACCACGAGCCAATGCACCTTTCTAGGGTTACTTTGATGCCCACTAATCGTTGATATCTCGTCTCATCTTTTGCATCATACACATTAGGTGTTCTATTGCCAAACCATAAGAAATTGCCATTATGTCCTCCATTCAATAACCTTTCTTAGAGTTTTACATGCTAATTATGAGCCTTATGACAACATCTAGGCATGAAGCGTGGAATAAATGCAACATCTACTTCTTGTGATCCCTTACAACTTTGTTCTTAAGAATATGTATCGTCTTTCAAGTCATTCACATCAACTTCTTAGAAAACCACGCTTACGTCTGACAATACATTTGCACTGTTTCCAATGACCATGATAATGTCCACGAATAGTACAAGAAATACCACCATGCTTCCGTCACTATACACAAAATGCCCATTCAGTTAATGAGTAAATCCATAGGAGTTGATTAACTCTTCGAACCAAATGTTCCAAGATCCACAATGTTGTCAGCCCTTTGCAATGACCTTCTCTGGGAGCTACATATGGATGTTATCTCAAGAATTCTGAGATACACGTGAGTTTGACTAAGAGAAAGAGTTGGCCACGATGTTCGGTAGATCGTCGATCACATGACGTCAAGCAAGGTAAAGGAATACATATGAAGATATCAAGGTTTCCAAGGATGCTACGGGTCCCATTTACCGAGTATCTTCTCAGTCTACTTATATTAAACGACACAACTTAAATAAAATTTATATACCTCTGCGTATAAGATCTAAGTTTGCGACGATTGTAGTGGATCCAACATGTATAAATAGAGTTCACACTCTTATGTCCATGGTGCGTACGAGTAAATATGTCCATCAATTGATGTAGTGAGATGTTAATATTTTATAGACAATGAGTATTGTAGAAATATCACGAGATTCTGGCACGTGGCTGGTGGACACAACTTAATGTAAGCATGGTGGGTAGGTGAGTAATTTCGTATATAGTACTATAATATATATTTTCAAGTGTTGATATCATGTAGATATGAATTTTTATACATGAATATACGACTTATAAAATTATACTAAGTTAGTTTAAATTATAAATATACTTCAACTTTTATATTTATTATCAATTTTTCACAATAACATCTATATATATATTTAAAAGTCCATATAGATTGTTGTAAAACGTAAATAGACTGGGATGCAGAATTATAAAACACAAATACTAAAACATAATAAAATTACAAAACAACCAACACTTTTGCTAAAAAATGTCTACCTTTATATAAGAGTAAGAGAGATAACGATAAATCTAGGATAGACATTTGAAGGCGTTCACAATTTTGAATTCTCAAGATTTAAATTAAACTATTAAATATTAAAAAGAACTATAAAAATAGATTTAGATGGAAAATATGTGAAAAACTAATGAAAATTATTTTTTATTTATAATAGTATGTACATATGGCTTTACAGAATAAAAAAAGAGACAAAATGTAGGGCTGACAACTGTTGAAGTAGTCGAGAGACCAACTACAAAGGTGTAGGACTGACTGACATATACATAGAATTATGATAAACAAGGAGATCGAACCGAAAAAGGGTTATTTTTTTATTATAATAGTATTTACATATGGCATTACAGAATAAAAAAAGGGACACAATGTAGGGCTGACAACTGTTGAAGTAGTCGAGAGACCAACCACAAAGGTGTAAGACTGATTGACATATACATCGAATTATGTATCAACATAAAAAAAAATAGAAAACAAAAACAAAAATACATCATAACAAGTAAAGGGCAAAACAGTCTTTTATTCGCCGGCTCCAAAACGAAGCCCACGCGCCTGCGCCAGAGCCACATCAGCCGTTGTAAACTGCAGTTACGGCGCGCCTATTTGGCGCGTAACAAATCTGACAAAAACAGAAAAATATTTAAATAAAAAAACAACCAAAAAAATCGAACACCACAAAATCGAATCAACAAAATAATATAAAAGGCACATAGAAATCTGACCATCCGACTTTTCCTTTTCCTAAGTAATTTTATTTCCTTTTCCCTTTTAATAAAGAAAACAAAAGTCCACAATAAATAGAAAAGCTAAAAGTTCGAAAGTTTAAAAAAGATAATTTTTTAATTATTAAATAGAAAAAACCCTTTAGAAAGTGCACAAAAAATCTCACACAGATGAACACACACACCGACTGTGAGCTATATATAAACTGCGCGTGTTGAAAATAATATATATATATATATATAAATAAACAAATAATCTCTCTCTCCCAACTACCAAACCCCTACCGATCAAGATCGAGCTTGCAATTGTGCTGTAATTTGGGGTATGTAGATACACTCACACACACATATTTACACTTAGTACAATATACTTTGTATACAGTGTATATAGTTATCTAGGGAGAGTGGGATTGCTTGTGGCGACGTTATGGAAAGGTACAGTGGGACCCAGGCAATGGAGGGGCTTCCGGTGGATCCGGTGGCGGAATGGGCGGCGCCCGGTGGCGAAACCGGGCTGGAAGGCGAGTGTTCTTGAATTCCCATTTGAATTTCACTTCAATTTTGAATCAAAGTTGCGGTCTTTTTACCTTGATGTTTTTGTAATGTTGATCGGTCTGAAGTTTGGTGTGTGTGAATGCAGAGCCCATGTGGCAGTTGGGTCTAGGTGGAGGGCCCGAATCGTACCCTGTGAGGCCCGATGCACCCGATTGTATCTATTTCATGAGAACAGGGTTTTGTGGGTATGGCAGTCGGTGTCGGTTTAATCATCCCCGTGACCGTAATTTGGTAAGGAAAACAAGTGTGAGCGTTGATGATTGGTATTGACACTTTTGATGCGTGAAAGGATGGATTTATCAGGGCTTTATATAGATTTGGTGCTGATTTGTATAAAATTATGGGTCTTTTATTTTCCTTATTTAGGGGTTTATGAAGTAGAGATGGCATATATTTGGAAACTTTTGCATTTTGGATTATCACATAAATTTGTCAAGCATGCATTGAGCTGAATCTAAATGGGTTATTGCATTTTGATGTGATCATCATTATGTAATATGTATTATGTATTGTTCTAATGGGGTTTACCATAGTTTTTGGCAATAGTGAGATATGTTAAGCGGGGATGACATTGACAATGGTGGATTATCCCATTAAAGTGGTGCACACTCTTCTTTTTGAGATAGGGGATTTTTGCCAATTTTTTTGTAAAATGGTGCTAGACATGCATTTCTTGTTTGTGATGTTGATAATCGTGCTAGAGCCGTATTCCATAGGTAAGCATGTGTTTTGCTGACTGTTTTTTATCTGATTGATTACAGGCAATGGGATCTTTAAGAACGAGTGGAGGTGATTATCCTGAGCGCATGGGCCAACCTGTTTGTCAGGTTTTGATTCTCGTTATTTTTGCAACTTTTTGTGAACTTGGAATCTCTTCTACATATGCTTGTTTTAGTGAGAAAGTTACAACTACGTATTATGGTATGAGGTATACTGGAGTAATGCACTACTATAATGTGGTACGATATGCGTATTATTAAATAATTTTGTGGCTCATAAATGTATTACTTAATGAACAATGTTTTTATTCATTTCAAAATTTCATGAGGGGAAATATCCTTAATTCGTCTTCTTGTTGGGTGTTGAAGGGTGAGTTTTGTTTGTTGATTATGTATTTGTCTTTCTTGATTTTTCATTACACACTGGATGGTGATGGCAACATGCTTATGTGTGTTTTATGAGTATGAACATTTGCTAGTGAATATTGACACGTTGGAAAGTCCATTTTATGTCTAATGCTATTTAGTTAACTGATCCTCTTGGTGGCTATTTAATGATGCTGAATTTTGATTCATGGGGTTAAATTTTTGACAGTAGACAAAGTGAATTTACTGGTTGTATTCCTATGTTACTTATCTGTTTCCTGTTTCCAGTTGGGGTGCAGAACACTTTAGTAATTCGTGGTGCTTTGAATGCTTGTTATCTTATCCCATCCTTTTTTCCTGTTTGGATTCAGTTTAAAGATCCATAGCTGGTTTCAACTTTTGTTTTTCCTTTTCCTTTAAGAGGTTCATGTCATTGTTACAACTTATGTAATGAGATAATGCAAAATTTTGTTTTGCTGGTTGATGTTAGAATTTGTAAATTTACCTGTCGGATTGTGTTGTTAAACTTCTTAAGCTCTTTTTTCTAATGAAAGCAACTTTATTGTGGTTAACTATAGCTTCTTTTTTCTGCTTGTTCTTTTCATAGAATGCTGAAAACAAGCATGTTCCTTGACATCAGCTCATTCTTTAAGGAATATTTTTTTTTGTGAATTTTCTTCTAAAGGGATTTCAAATCCATTATTACAATTTGAGACTATCTTATATACATTGAAACAAATTTGGAATTAATGGATTTGAAATCCCTCTATCCAAAGTAGCCTTAGGGGAATGATGCACATTGATCTAAGTTAAAGCAACTGATTCATGCTATATTCGGTAAACCTTTCAGATTGCCTTCATTTTACCTTATGTGTCTGCAGGGAAGGAATGATCTGGTGTTAAGTGTTCTGTCCAACCTAATAAAAATAGCTAATTATTAATTTAACTTCTTTAAATACTAATGAACCTACTGTGTTGATGGTACTTATCATGAATTTGTGCCTTTAGGAAACTCTTCTCTCTTAATCGCAATAATCATTTACACCTTAATGACATGATATCATGAAAAATCCAACCAAAATTTAATTCTTCCAATATGATAACCAAAATTACTTTTTCATACTTAGAATTACAAAATCGGTGTGCTAATCTTGGTTTGAAATGAACTTTGTAGTACTACACGCGGACAGGTATGTGTAAATTTGGCTCTACATGCAAATATCACCATCCAAAGTATGGAGTTGGATCTTCAGCTCCTATCATGCTCAACTTCTCTGGATATCCATCAAGACCGGTCTGCAGCCTATTTCTTTTTTTTTTTCTTATTTATTATAAATTACTAAAACACCCTTTTATTAATTAACTCTAATAACAAAAACCTC